ATCAGTAGTACAATCGATTGTAACAAAACAAAAATGCATTTTCTGCCTTGTTTTGGGGCTGTTTTGATCCATCTCTCTTTTTCTACCCACTCCTTTTGATTGTTGATTTGGATTGCAATTTTAAATGTCCAATTTCTCTTTAAATTCAATGGATTTTGGGTGTAGATGAAGTTGGATAAATTTTCATTAACTCAAATCTATCAAATAGTGAATTATTCAATTCATTGTTGATGCTTTAGATTAATGATATGTTTAGTACTTTAATCCATCTAGATGAGTGATTGAATTTAAAGATAAAATAAATTTGAGGTAGTAATCCAAATTAGCTTATCATTTTCCTCCCTCTTCATCTTACCCATTTCTTTTTATTTGTGCTACATGTTAAGGGATAATGATCTCTATATCATTTATCGAAACATAAAGTACATAGATTGCTATTGACCGGCCTCAAAATAGGTGCGACTTCTACATAAGTCCACTTATGATTGCTTAACATAGCGCTAAATTTTGTCCTGATTCGAGAAAGTGATCATTCGTGGCCCAAACCTATGTTTGTAAGCCCAAGTATGTTAATTTGAACCCTTTGATCCAATAACCTTGAGATTCATTATTAGGAGGCTTTGGTTCTACCAATCCTCCAATGGATCTTCATCAATTTTGGTCATCGTGGATCACTTAAATATCGTTGATCATTAAATATTACATTGAGGATTCTTAAATGGATGATATACTTGACAAAAAGCAAATGCAACTTGTTGTTGAGAGGCTTTGGTTCTACCAATCCTCTAATGAGTTCCAAATGCAAGTTTCAAGATGGTCATCCAACTAACCATTAACTTCTAACAATTGACTTTACTTTATGCTTTTTATTTTTCTGCCCTTTACTTTATGCACCATTTTACTTTAGCATTTACATTTCATTTTATTTCCATCTTTGCTCACTTGAGCATTTACTTTTATGTCATTTTTATTTTGCTCACTTGAGATTTTATTTTCCTTTTAAGACACTTAATAATCAACATGAACCATAAAAAACTTTAATGATACTTGGACTATTTGGTTACTATCCTTGGAATTATGGAGTATTGGACTTCTTGGACTTAGGAATAGAAACCTTGGCCTATGTTAGAGACCTTGTGGTCTTAATTGATATTTTGTCTGGAGTTCTTGGGGTTTACCCCAAGATATTGGATTTTTTGTTTGTTTTGTGTGCAGGTTATTGGAATTACATATTTTGTCTGTAATCTGGAATTCATCTGTATACAGCCGTTACTCTGCCCAATTTTTGTGAAGACTTAATACATTTGAAGTTTGGTCTTTTCAAGAGGTCTAGTATCTTTGCTTGCTTGGTTTCAATCCAAAGAATGAGAATTCTATCTTGACTCATAATGTCAAGTGTTGGCTTCTTGTTGGTTAGACGGTTCTCTTCCTTAGCTTTTACCTTATGTTTTAAGATAAGACCTTCATCTCCTCCCAATTTCTTTAATTTTCAAAACCTTCTCATCTTTTTCAAAATCCTCTTTGTTTATAAACTCAATACGCTTTCATGATAAACCTCGACTTTGTCGAGTGCCTTTTCTTTTAAAACTTCTTTTCTTCAAACAAACTTCAATTCATTTAATCATACATTGACATCTTTCAAAATTAACAAAAATACTTCAACTCATTCAAACTCTTTTCTACGCTCGAGCACCTTTACCCTTTAAACCTTTTTTCAAGATGAGACATGATTCATTGATAGTCGAGCAACATTCTCCTATTCCCATGTTTATAAAGGTATCAAATTTTTCACTTGAGTACTAGAGGCATTCTCAAACCCTCACTCTTATTGATGCATGGTCCATCTTTCTCACACCTTGTAGGCGTTAGTCGAGATTTCTCTCCTAACAATGATGACTTGTCTCCTTGTTTAAAATCAATCAACGGACAAGTCTTTTCTAGCTGAAATACGGATCTCTGACTTTCCTATTACACGAGGGAGTACGTAGGCACTAAGTCTTATGATCCAAGGCGAGCAACAAAAATAATAAAAAAACATTTCATTTTCTTTTACAAATACTCATTCATTATTTTCCTTTAGCAAGTAAACCTTTACATGACACTCCCTTTTAAAAGAAACCAAACAAAGTGGATCATGTGGAATGCCGTAGATGCTTAGAGTGCTAATACATCCCCTTTGCATAACTGACTCCCGCACCTCGATCTCTGATCTTTTACTTCATTATGGGTTTTATTCGCTTTTTTTCCATTTCCCTTTGAAAACAATAAAGTGCGGTGTAGACTTCATTGTATTGAGATAAGTAAATTTATGGCTTAAATCTCAAATCTTTACCGCTACATTTATTATCATATCATTACTATCGCAATTTCGTTCATCATTGTTGTCTTTGCCAGCGCGTGCGACAATGATAAAGATACAATTCCTATAGACTTAGATCTACATCACATTCACCTTTCCACTTGTATAATAACTACAACATTTACTTTGTCTTTACATTGTTCTCTGTCAATGGAAAATGAGTATTTGTTCTTTGTGCAATTCTTGTTTAAAACATGGAACAATTCAAGGATTATTGGCTGGAGGATGAACTGAGGTGAGGTTATGGTTGAAGAAGAATGGTGAAGTAGTGTTGTTATTATGTTGATGAAGATGTTGTGTTGTAGAATGAGTATGGTGGAGATGTTATGATGAAATGAAAAGAGAAACTGCAACCTTACTTTCCACTTCCATCCATTACATCAGTAACATGCATTAAGTATAAAAGACTTGCAATCTAAGTCCCACATCGTTTTTTTAAGAAAAATATTTAGTGTTTATAATGCTAATTCATGCAATCGCTTTGAATTGAAAAGTGAATGTGTGGGTCAAAAAGGGTTAGGCCCATAATATTTCTATCAAGTATTAATTATTAATTAATTATTTAAAATAATTTAATTATTTTAAATAATTAATTATTTAAAAAATAATATAATTAAAATTATTATTTAATTTACTAGTTAATAAAATATATTAAATAAGAAAATAATCAAGTCACAAATGTCATGTAATTAGAAATAATTTTTTAATCATAATCATCACTGCCAGCTATACAAAATTAGAGGGGGGCAACAATATTTCGAGTGAGGTAAATTTTAGAGATCGAAAGTTGGGTTTGAAATAGAGGGATTAAAACTTAAAAAACTTAAAAATAAGGGGACGGAAAGTACATTTAATTATCCCTTTTAGATTGTTGTATGAAATTCCTTTTTGAAGAAAGAAGGGGACATGAAAACAAAGCACATTATGTCGCTACAGGCTCACCTCCTCTTAGGTGTTAGCCACTCAAAGAGCGTAGGCGGTGGAACCTATGAGACATCAACCTCGAATCAGGCTCAAACCTAAGGGCAATGAAGATGACATAACCCTTGGTTAGGAACAATCTTTGTGACTCAGAAGAAATTATGTCAGTTTCCAACGAATGGAACATGTAATGGTGAAACGAAGAAATTATACTAGTTCCTAACAAAAAGGACAAATAATGATGAAACACGCTACAAAAGTAGCAAAACAATCATAATAGATAAGCAGGCAAAAAGACACAATTTAAAAAAAAGTCAAAATACGATCTACAAATTTACATTGCCTATGAAGACATACAAATTACAAGAAGATATTTTTTTACAATAGCCAAAGACAGCCTCACATCACCACTAATCCATTGACCATCATGTTCTCTGTGATGTTTAGATCACGAGAAACTCAAACATCTATGCAAAACACCTCAATCTGGTCCATAACGTTCAAGAAGGTGGCACCTCTAATGTCTTCAATGGTAGTTTCATCAAGCTCCTCTTCCAGCGAGCTAGTTCATCGTAATAAGTCTCCGTCTCCGTAGAACGAGCATCCTCCTCTTCATTCGGGGCACCCTAGTCCTCGAGGCATGGGTAGATAAACACTTGCCTCCCACTTTCTTTGCAACATGCTCCTAAAATTTTCACGATTACTGATGACCAACTCAGTATTATGCAACTGATACAAATCTAAAAAGACATCTCATTTAATATATTACGACAATACTTATATTCAAAATTATCATAAATACAAAATTGAATATATTGAATTAGAAATAATGAACGTAATATTTACTAGAGAATAAAATTTAAAAAAATAAATATTATATTAAAAATTAAAAATAATCATCTCCAATTTATTTTCTAAATTAATCATTCATTATCAAATGGTGAGATGTAGTACTAGTGTCCAATCTCCTATTATACACATTTCAAATATGTGACATATATTTAACGAACATTTAATTTTGTACACATAAAACTATGATAAATAAAAAATTTCATTTCTTTTTGAAAATTGAGAATATCCTAACCCAATTCTATGATTATGATCCTCTCCATTTTTTCCATTATTATAATTTAATATATAAATTAGACGCATATCTAAAATATATGACATATATTTAACGAGGATTTAAGTTTTATATACATAAAACTATAGCTTTTATAGTAATGGAAAATGGAGAGTATCCTAATCCCAAAATTCCATGCGATCTTGGATCGAAAAAGCAATATACTCGATTATTAAAGCAATATTTAAATTAAAGTTTTTATAATAAATAAAAAAATAGAAAACAAAGTATAATAGTGCACAATTCCAATTGGAATTGGAATTACAAAAAAGCCATGCGTGTTTGCGTTAAGTTGTTGTGAGTGATGGACGTTTTGATTCTTACAGAAGGCTGATTCACATGCTCCATCTGGTTCTTCTTCCTCTGCCACTCCCTTCACACCCTTCACTCTCAGAGACACAGCAGAGAAGATATAATAAAGCAAATTAATAAAGTGGAAAAACAACCACAACCACAACACAAAAGCTCATCACGCTCATTCCATGCTTTACCACACCACTCTCTTTCTTTCTCTCCCTTTTACTTTTTAGTCTCCTCCTTTCTCTTCTTCCCATTTTCTCTCTCAACCATAACCCAAACCCTTCCATTTTCATCATTATGCCTCTCAACTTTCTCTTCCTCTTCCTCCTCCTCCTCCTCTCCCACCATCCTCTCTCTTCCGCTTCCGCACCTCGCAACCCCGAAGGTATATATATTTCACTTCCTACATTCATTTATTTATCCATTTTATATAATAATATTATTATTATTATTATTATTATTATTATAATAATAATAATAAATTTCAGTGGAAGCTTTGATGAGTATAAAAGATTCCCTCAACGATCCTCACGGTGCGTTAAGCAACTGGGACGAATACTCAGTAGACCCTTGCAGTTGGTCTATGATTACCTGCTCTTCCGATTACTTCGTTATTGGCCTGTTAGTTTTTTTTTTTTCTTTTACCTTTCTTACTACACTTCAATATTTTTATTCTTTAAATCATTAACAAACTTCTCTATTTTTTTTATAGCGGAGCTCCCAGTCAATCACTCTCTGGAATTTTATCTTCTGCTATCGGAAATTTAACTAATCTTAAACAAGTGTTAGTCAAATTTGATTTCAGACTTTTTGTCGTTTTGTTTACAGTAGTTCTGGAATAATATTGGTTTTGATTTTTGTTTTTATGTATTTGTTTGTAACTGTGATTTTGTTATGTAGCTGGTCTCTATCAACTCTGAGAATGTTGAGTTTAAAATATTGATATTAACAAACAAATAAAAAATCCTTTTTTCTGTTTTTGTTTTTGTGTTGTGATTTAGGTTTTTCTTGGTTGAATGTAGGTTACTGCAGAATAACAATATCTCAGGCAAAATACCACCGGAACTTGGAAATCTTCCCATGCTTCAGACTTTAGATCTTTCGAGTAACAGTTTCTCTGGGTTCATTCCACCTTCACTTAGTCAATTGAATAGTCTCAAGTACCTGTGAGTATTCACTGTTCTCTTGTTTTCTTCTACTTCTTGTTTTGCATGTAAAATATATTATATTATGTTTGCAGAAGGCTGAACAACAATAGTTTGTCTGGACCCTTTCCTGTTTCGCTGGACAAAACTACACAACTTACTTTCTTGTGAGTATATGGTTAAATTTAAAATAGTTCTCTTCTCTCACACGTCTTTGTATTGTTTAGCATTTTTTGTTGACATTTATTTTGTGAAATTGAGATATGCTTACTCTGTACATTCAGGGACTTGTCTTATAACAATCTCAGTGGACCATTGCCCAAGTTTCCAGCCAGGTCATTTAAGTATGACCCCTCTCTCTCTCTCTCTCTCTTTCAGATGAAGACAAAATAGTGTTCCATTGTTTATGCTCCTGTGTTTTTCTACTGTGCCTTTGTTTTGATTCACTGTTACTTTTGTAGTATTGCGGGAAACCCATTAATTTGTCTAAGCAAATCTATTGAAGGCTGCTCCGGAACAGTGACTCTTATGCCTGTTCCTTTCTCACAAGTATCATCACAAGGTATGCACTTCTTATCCTTGCTGCAAATGATGAATTAAGACTGAATTTTAGGCTGACTTGCAGACTAAGTTGTCATCTTTAAGACATTTCGTGGCGCTTTGGCTTGTGTCTGACATTTGCTGCGGCAGTTTTCTTCACTCAACATTTTAAATTAGTGTTACATTTTTATTTGTAGGAAAACACAAGTCCAAAAAACTGGCAATTGCTCTTGGGGTCAGCTTTGGTTGTGTTTCTCTCTTAATCGTGTGTTTAGGGCTGTTTTGGTATAGAAAGAAAAGACAGCATGGAGCCATCTTGTATATTGGTGGTATGTAGCTCTGGAACAACGGTTCTTATTATAGATTAGAACCTATAAGTGTTAGAAAAGAATTAATATTTTTGATGTTGGCAATTTTGCAGATTATAAAGAGGAGGCTGTTGTTAGCTTAGGGAATCTTAAAAGTTTCGGTTTCAGAGAGCTCCAACATGCAACTGATAGTTTCAGCTCCAAGAGTATACTCGGTGCTGGAGGTTTTGGCAACGTTTACAGAGGGAAGCTTGGAGATGGCACAATGGTGGCGGTGAAAAGACTGAAAGATGTAAATGGTAGTGCTGGTGAATTACAGTTCCAAACAGAATTGGAAATGATCAGCTTGGCAGTTCACCGCAATTTACTTCGCTTAATTGGATATTGTGCTACTCCTATTGAAAAACTTCTGGTTTACCCTTACATGTCTAACGGAAGTGTAGCATCCAGGCTTAGAGGTAGTTAATTTTATGTGCTAGCCGCTAGCTGCTTTTATCATTAAGGGCGTGATCTTATATTGTGATGTATTATAAGTTTGGTGATGATATACTGACATCTACTTTGTCACATACATTTAATCTGTTTATAATCTTGCGATCTGCACTTGTCATGTTTTGAGTGTATATTTTCACAGACCTTGAGGATAGTCCCGATTACATCATAGCATGGTTTGGGCCTTAGGATTCTCAGATATACCTTTTTTGATTTTAATTATTCAGTCACAACAATCATAATACCTTAACTTTCCTGGTGTTTAATATCATGCGGGTGATGTAACAGGAAAACCAGCTTTAGATTGGAACACAAGAAAGAGGATAGCAATTGGAGCTGCAAGGGGCCTTCTGTACCTTCATGAGCAATGTGATCCAAAGATAATACACAGAGATGTTAAGGCTGCTAACGTACTTCTGGATGACGATTACGAGGCTATTGTTGGTGATTTTGGTCTTGCAAAGCTCCTTGATCATGCTGATTCCCATGTCACCACTGCTGTCCGTGGTACTGTCGGGCACATTGCGCCGGAGTACCTATCCACCGGCCAATCATCTGAGAAAACTGATGTGTTTGGATTCGGCATTCTCTTGTTAGAGCTTATAACTGGAATGACAGCTCTTGAGTTTGGGAAAACCTTGAATCAAAAAGGTGCTATGCTTGAGTGGGTAAGTCTTTTCTCTCCAATCAAAATAAACATTCTAGTGCGTTTCATTCGTTTGTTTTGACACAATTAATTACTAGTTAATCCTATATGTAATATGCATAGTGTGATATTAACAAGATACTAAAAAACATATGTATGTGAGAGCTGTGTAGTTGTTGACAACAGGTACCTGCCTCTTTGTACATATCCTTGAAATGAAATAAATATATTTATATGTTAGGTAAGATACTGCATATACCTCAGAGACCAATGATCAATTTTCATCGATGATGTGACAGGTGAGGAAAATACAGCAAGAAAAAAAGGTTGAAGTGTTGGTGGACAAAGAACTAGGGAGCAACTATGATAGGATAGAGGTTGGGGAGATGCTGCAAGTAGCTCTACTTTGTACTCAATATTTGACAGCTCACCGTCCGAAAATGTCCGAAGTGGTCCGAATGCTCGAAGGAGACGGGCTTGCTGAGAAGTGGGCATCAACACATGATTATGGTAGCAACTGCTGGAGCCATAGTCAAAGCAACAACAGTAGCAGCAATAGCTCATGCCGCCCTACCTCTGCTTCAAAACATGATGACAATATTCATGATCGTTCGAGCTTGTTTGGCATGACAATGGATGATGATGACGATCAGTCCTTGGATTCCTATGCTATGGAACTCTCTGGTCCTAGATAAATTACAAAAAATAAAGATCAATAGTTTTAGTGGGGAGGTACAAAAAGGAGCAGAAGTTCTTATGGTCATAGGAAATTTTATTATATTTTGTTTGGTCCATGATATAATATGTATATATATATTCTCTAATACAATTTTGTCATTTTGGGTTGTTGTAGATATCAGTAGAGCAGTACTAGTAAAGTTGTACTTATTATCTGCATTTGGATGCAATATTATAGAATGGTAGAAGGTAAACATCATGAGATTCTTTGCAATTGAGTATGAAGCAAGAAACAAAGTTGGTGCCTTTTGACTGAAGATGAACATGGCAATAGCCATATGAAAATTTTCTTCTGTTGTTTTGGTTGCATTGATGTTGTTGAAACTAGTGAAAAGAATGAGAGAAGGTCACGGTCTAAGCTTTCAGGGTTCAGCTGTTGAGGGTCATTTTCAGTCTGATATTTTTGCAGGGTCATGCCTATTCTTTTACTTTAATTGGTGCCTTTTTCTGTGCTCTTTTGCCTTTCTGTCTTGTTTCTTATCTTCATTGGACATTACTTTAGTTTGTATTGTCTTGTTTCCTTTTACTACCAAACCTTAGTAGCTGTTTTTCTTTGACTCGGTACACCTTCCTAAAGTAAATTTTCTGGTGCATCTTACACATGGTTTGTGTAATCTTTGATTTGAGTTCTTTTACTTTTAAATTAGAATAACACTGGGATTATTTATTGTATGATATTTTTTTTTAATTTTTAAAATAGTATTAAACATATTAAAGATTCTAGATATAAATGGGACTCTCTTAATCCTAAAATTTGCTCTTTACACTATCTACTTGAGTACCAAGCCTTGGACTTTTTTCTTTTGAGCTAGAGTGTAAGAAAAATAAAAATGGAGAAACATAAGGGGGTGAAGAATTGGAATGAGCTATGAAAGGATATATATTGGATGTCTGCACAACATCGATTATGTACCATTTTTACAACAAAGATTGGTATATGAATGTATTATCACTATTAAAATCATTTTAACATGGAGAAAAGGTGTTCCTAAAGATAGATGAGGACGATGACTTATGGAGTTAGTGAAGGATTCAATTATGTTTTTTAATAAATGATTTAGTGTAATACGAAAAAAAAGGGAAACAAGGTTGTGACTAATATATCTGGTGTTGTATGAAATTTTATAAGTGTAATATCTAACTTTATCGTTTAATTGAGACCTTCGTGAAATCCTTCACCCACTCTAGATCAAAATAACACGTTTATGTATAAAATGTAGATTTCACTAAGTCAACATTAAATGAATCAATTCAAGGAGATTCATGAATATCATATCAAATTATTTTAATTTCACGAATCGATTCAAGGAAGCTTGTGAATCGTTTTCAAATGAACTTTTCTCAAATTTCGTGTGGTCACTAGATTTGTGATTTATTCACATCATAGCATGAATCAGGATAGGAGATTTAGGATAGTTTTGACGGTGTTTTGGGTCGATTTGTATTTTTTTGTGTGGTGGTTGGAGTCTTTTCTTGATTTTATATTTGAATTCTTCTCTGGATTATAGTCAAGGTTAGGTTGTTGTTCTTGATTACTTCTGGTACTCTTAGCTTTATTTATATTCTCTTCAACTCTTGATTCTTTTATTTTTAATATATGGCTCCTATTTTACTATTTAAAAAAATTCATGACTTAAAAATTGATGTCATGTTGTAAATCGGGATATGTGATCCAATTTATTGAATTTTGTAAATCTATTCACATGAATAGATTTATGAATCGAATCAATGATTTTTTCAAGCTAAATTTAACATTTGAGTCAATTCATTTATTATCTTTGATTCAATTTATTTAAATCATTTTGCACTAAGTTTGTGCTATTTCTCAATCACCTATATAAAGTTTTTCTCATTTTTATTTTGATTAGCATAAATCAAATCCTAAGCATGATTGCTAGAAAAAAATATTTCATCTCTTTCAAATCATAACCTAGATTCATCAACCTTTGTGAGTGTGCGATGATTGTTTGTGAGGAAACTAATTAGAGTGCTAATGTGTGTTAAAGTTTGTTATTTTATAGGTTTTGGATATGTTTATATAATTCATGAATTGAAATTCTATTGAAGAAAAAGAGTGGTCTTCTCCATTGAAGTGGAGTTTCTTGCATTTGTCAACTTTGTGAAGAAAAAGTTGAAGTATTACAATTAGGGATGAGTAAAGATTGTGATAAAGGTTGTGATCGAGATTATAGTTGGGTGAGTTGTGTTACAGGCAAAGATATTTTGTTATTTTGTTATGTCAAAAAAAGATATATTTGTTGACTAAGTTGTTAAATTGTAATTCTAAATTGTTTAAAGAGTGGTCAATCCAAAACATTTCAAATTTCTCATTTGAATTATTGAAGATTAATTCACATATTTCACTCTCATTATCTATGTTTTATTGGTGTTTGCATCGTTAGATTAAAACTTTTAAATTGAATAATTTATTTTTTTTTTAAATTGTTTTCACCATTTAAGCTTCCGTAAAATAACCTTCGTTTTAAAAATAATTGAAGGGAATCATTCTATTCAACCGTCTTTTAGACTTGTGACCACCATATTCACCCAACAATTAACATCAAGAGTTAATCTTTTGATAAGGTTGACCAACTTCAAAAGTTATTGAATATGATACAAATAGTTAAGCAGAGAACATACAATACATCTTCATTTATTTATTATTTAAACTAAAATGAATAAAAAATAAAAATTATTAAATTAAAACTTAAAAATTTAAAGAAGATTTGAAACGAAGCAACAATCTAATCAACAACGGAAACCATTTCCACTTTTCTTTTTCTTTCATCCTTTTTTTTTACAATTTTCTTGTCTATCAATTATACTTCTTCTACAATTAACTATCTTAACGTTTAACAAATTTTTATATTTTGTTATTTTTTACCCTTTAATTACTCTTCATAAACTCATATTATAAGACAAAGTTAAATATTGTATACAAATCTCAAGTCAAAAGACAAAAATTCAATATTTCATACAAACCTCATGTTAGAAAACAAAACTCAATCCTTCAATCTCATTGGCAACATATACATAAACATTGAGTGAAAATTCATGGAATTTTGTAATCAATCTAGTGCATGAATGACTCAGTCTAATTGCTCGAAATACATTACAAGTTGCTCAATTGGACTTGGGTTACCCCGTTCGAACTAGAATCCATGATTTGTTTCATTTAATGGATATGGACTGGCCTCTGAAGTGTCCAAGGAGTAATGACCTAGAAATAACAGTCAAAAGAAAAAACCCGTCTCCTCATGATTTGAGGAACATCGAGTCTGCTTTCTCTCCCACGTTTTTTATAAGGAAATTAGGCAAACCATTTCTCTTTCTTTTTAGCTTGACCCAAGGAGTATTATATAAATATCACAATCTCAAAATTATGGAGTAACATTCAGTAATTCCACAAAGAAAAAACACACACCTCTCACAACTTCTATGAGTGCGGACTCTATCTCAACTATTGTACTTTTAATTAATACATATTTTAATTTGTAATTATGTAATTAATTATGTGTAATTCATTAATGTTGTTGGATTCTTTCATATTATCGAATTTTGTGTCATGTCATTAAAGAAATGATACATAATCATTTTTGAAATAAGAAATCGGAGGGAGAAACTAGGGTCTATTTGTAGGGGTGGCAAACGGGCATGCAAGTCCCGTTTAGATCCATTTCACAAAAGTCCACAAAAAATAGGGCGGGACGAGGCGAACATTGTTTAGGACACAAGCTTAAACATTTTTCTGCCTTGCAAAAAAAGGGCACTACATTTTTAGCCTAAAAGTTGTAAAAACTTATGTTAATACATGTGCCTTCAGACCTAATTACTATATATTTTCGTTTAAGAATTTTAAAAAATCAAATCTAAACTTTTTTTTACCTAAACTAATTTATATTTTTTTAAAATTAAAAATTCATCCAATATACATTTAAGTACATAGAAAATGTTTTTAATAAAAGTAATAATTAAACTTTTAGGGATTCATAGTTAAATAAATAATTCATTAACTAAATAAAATTTAGATTTGTAGAATTTATGTCTAAAAGTCATCATTTATATAATATAATTAGTATTATAAGAGTTGGTATCAACACTTCTGAAACGAATTAAAAAAAAAGGAGAAAATATAATTTTTTAGTTGTGATTCTTACTATTTTCGAATGAAAATATGATAAATGTATATTTTCCTCTTATACATATGCAATTTTCTTCTATTTTCACTCGTTAAATGATATTTAGGTTCACCTGTCATATTTTTATTGAAAAATAAAAATAACCACACCTAAAAAATTATATATAATTATCTCCTTAAAAAATACCACGTGGAAATATGCAATTTTCTTCTATTTTCTGTGTTTTTTGAGTCGTACCAATAGATAAAATACTAAAAATTGGAAAGAAAAACACTATTGAGATGTTAACTTGGACTACATGGAAATGTTGTTGGATCTTTAATATTTTACATGATTTTTTTTATAGTTTTATTACCTAACTTAGTTTTATTTCTCAAATTATTTTTAGTCTCTTTTAAAGGATTCAAAACAATCATCAAACAAAAACTAATTCAAAACTAGAGAATGTAGCTCCTAACTTGTCACCATGATGAGTTGACAATGAAATGTCAATCAAAGAATCAAAGGAGAATTGATTTATAGGTCATAAGGTATTAGGTTAGAAGTATAAGTAAAGGCACTTCAACCTTTTTGGATCAAGGGCACTCAATTGGAAATGTACAAACACATTCTCCTAAACCATGATCACAAAAGACAAGTAAATGACCTCTAAACAAGGGCAAGATGTTAGAGCACTTTAATGGTTCATAGACATGAAATCAAGGCTATAATCATGATAATAAGAGTAATATAAAGAAGAAGGAACTTGGTTCCTTATAGGTTGCATAAGTGCATACCTTGTATCTCAAGCAACAAAGAAGTAGATTAAAAAAGTAAGG